TTGTATATATGACATCTAATTCTGCTGGTGTGAATATATAGGTTTACCGTGATTGGGCACAGTTGTACACAGCTTACCGTAAAAAAGAAGTCGCACCCATACTTTTTGAATAATTGAGAACCAAACATTCACCAATTCTCATATGTGTAGATAGTGCTAATACAAGCCGCATCCCCTCTGTTGCATTGTACTATTTTAATACAAGCTGCAGCTTCTAATACAGATTTTACAGTAATCCTGAATGAACACTTTTGATGGCCAGCACAATTAAATTTGTTTTTACTTGACCATGAAGACCATATTTCAATAATAAGATTGCTTTTTTCCCTGACCATAAACTCTAACGTAAATTTTGTTTTTTTATTTGATCATGAGTGACCAAGTATGTTTCATTCAAATACATTGGTCAGTGGGGGTAAAATCAGGGCCCATGAGATTACTGTCGCTGACCGCAGTCATTTGGTCGTCTAACATGGTTGTTCTTGTCAGGCGTGAAAGACTGCCATTACCCATGAGTCTTTGCAGGTTTCCTTCAGTGTTTATTCCCATGCATCTGTTAACATGCTTCACCTATTTATTGAGAATTTATAAAACATTTATAAATATTTCATTTGAAAACAATTCATGTCCTTGTGAAATCCACTGTAACAATAATAATAATACAGGGTCCATAGCGTTGGGAAAATCCTTTGAAAGTCTTTGGATTTGTTGAGGTCTGGAAAGTCTTTAAGTTGTCTTCAAATTACAGGAAAAATAAAAAAATCTTTGAAAAGTCTGTAAATTTTTTCATAATTATTATTTCATTTTAAAAAAGGCCTGTTTTCTCCAGGGAACTACCATATCCTCAGAACTTTGATGAACTTTGGTGATAATATTGGCCTGAATTAAGGGTCAAAATGTCTTGCAAAAATGCAAGAAAGTTTGGGAAAAGGTCTGGAAAAGTCTTGGAAATCATTTGGCTCTTGGTGCTATGGACCTTGTAATAAGTAACACCCACATTATACATTATACCATAGATTTTTCCAAAACTGTTGATGAATGTAGATAAATTCAACACAGTGTAATTGTTTTGTTTTAGTTGCACCATCAATAATTGGAGATGTTAGTCAAGTAGTGACTGTAACACTAGGTGAACCTATAACTTTGCCATGCCATGCTGAAAGCATACCACCACCTACCAAATCATGGACAAAAGAAAATTTAACTATATCTCGGAATAATCTCCATTATGAAGTAAAGAATTCTGGGTCATTACATATTTCAAGAGTGGAATCGTCCGACAGTGGTGTATATATTTGTACTATTAGTAATGTTGTTGGAGATACAAAAAAAGAAATTAGATTGAAAGTAAATGGTAAGTCTATTCGCGTATCTATTTGTCTGTGTAACTTTCTGTCTGTATATGCCTGTAATTTTTTTGAAGATACAAATTAAATTTAGTGGTCACTATGTCTGACAAGTACGATAAATGCCCTCGAACAATGCTAAGGCCTAATTAGTTTTAGATTGAAATTTGAGCATGCTAATTGCCTAATTTGCATAATTATCGTATTTCATTGAAAATAGGTTTATAGATGCTCTAGGGAAATTCACATATGTGTTTAGTTTAACGTTGAAAAACATGCATATTATCTAATTATTATTAGCCAATTTCTGATCTTTCAAAACATCAGATTTAAATTGAACTTGTGGTGGAAGTGCTCTGGAATAAATTAGACTGCAAACCATAGATGTACAACCAAATATTATAAACTTCTATAATGTGGATCACATTGGTTTCATTTTGTGCATCTCAAATAGCAGGCGAATAGTAGTTGCCAAGCTTCTTTTTTGAAAGGCTAATCTTAAATTTTGATTATGCCTCCAATACTCTCAGCACACAGTTTGTGGTCACACTGTTATACATCTGATTAAAATATTTTTTTTTTATATTTTTATATTATAATTATGACTACCGATAATTAGTGTGTGATTTTATTATATTTTTCAGTTATCTAAATTTTTTGTAATTGTCTGATTGCAAATACCCAAAGATTCGGACAACCTCTATAGATCTTGTTCAACTCTCACAAACTTCAATAACCACTCTGAGAAGGCTTTATAAACATAATGGCTTATGACATAATCACTGTATACAAGGCCTTCTCCAATTGGTTGACTAATCTAATTATTTGAGATCTCACGTTTGGGCATTCGCAGTCAGAAAATAAAAAATTAAAATTAAAATAATTTGAAAAATTATGACTAAAATAAATAAAAAAAATGAACAAGTAAACGAATAAAAAAAATGAGATGAAAAAGCCCAATAAGATCTAATTTTAATCAAATTGGATAATAACTAACTAACTTAATTTTATCAATAATTAACACTTTGTGTTTGGACTTTCAACAGTACCCCCTAGGATTTCACCTGGACCAAGTCATATAACTGCTGTAGTTGGAGATTCAGTCATTTTACCATGTGAATCCATTGGTGATCCAGTACCTGATGTCAGATGGAACCACAATGAATGGCGTTTGAATATGAACTCTGAGGATTTCTTATTACTAGATTCTGGATCTTTACAGATCAGTAATGTAAAAGTGAAATCAGGTGGTAGATATCGATGTAGCATCACAAGTATTGCAGGCTCTGATACCAAGGATATAACACTTACTGTGCAAGGTAACGAAAAAAAAAATATTTTCAATGCATATTAATAGCCGGTGCTATAAAAGGGAAAAAATTCACTGGGTTGATTTTAGCAAATTTGATCTGGCAGCAAAATTCACTAGATTTGTGAAAGAAACAATACATTCTGTTGTTAAATTGGAATATTTACTGGGTTTAATTTAGTGCATTAAACTGTTACTGAAAATGAAACCCAGCAAATAATTTGGTACTGTAAAATTAATTAATTAATTAATTTTCGCTGTAAATTTTCACTTGGAATTAATTTTCACTATTTTCGCTGAATGAATGATTCAGTGAAAATAAAATCCAGCAAATATACCTTTTTGCCCATATTTTATATTCAACTAATAAATTCAAATAAATTCCATACAAAACGCCCCAAAAAACTTTTCAGCGAAAATAAAGTATTTTACAGTATTTGAATTCTGTTGTTTGTTAAATGAAATTCACAACATGAAATAGAACAACCAAACCGTACTTCACAACACTTTATGTGACTGTTTTTATTCTCTTTGTCTTGGTTTTAATTTAGTGCATTTTGCTGTCAGGGAAAATAAAGTTCAGGAAATAATTAAGCCCGCCATAGTATTTGAATTCTGTCGTTTAAAAAATAAAATTCACTACATGAAATAAGAGAACCTAACTGTATTGTGATGGACTGTGAGAGTTCTTCGTGAACTGACTACTAGTACTTCACAACAAGTTATGTGACTGTGTTTTCATTCTCTTTGTCTTGGTGAGAATAATAGAATTCCTCACCCCCCAGGTCCTTGGATCACATTTCTTACATAAGTTTGGTATTTTTTGTACAACACGACCAAGTGTGAGAAGTATCATCTTGGATTTCCAAAATTTACCTCTGGATATTTAATTGTTGAATTGGTGTTTCGAAAATATTTTTGTAATCTATTTTATTGGTTAGTTCAAATCAATTTCACTTGATTCCCCAAAAAACATGTTAGGGACAATTTGAAAAAAAAATTACATTTTATAAAGTGTGTTTTAAACACAATACTTAGTATTATTTACTAGTGACTTTTTCCCACACTGATTAACAAGTTTCAAATTTCAAGTTTGATTGTAAACAAATATTTTGAACATGTTTCTTGGCTTGTCATTTGGTAAGGGCTCTTTCGTTATACCAGTTAAAAATAGTCATGGAGTTATTATACATCTGACAGGAATAGAGTTCTTCTATTCGTTCACCTTGTATGCATCAAAAATGTATGCATCAAAAGTGATAGAAATATAATCACGTTACTGAAAACAGACAATTGTGCACATACAAATTTCCTGAAATGGTTTATGAATCATGACTTATAGTTAGAAACAGACAACAATGGGTAATAATAAAGTTATCATGAGGATACCACAAAGTATGCACTCAGGCAGTTTGGGGTTTTGAATTGACCACCATGTGCCTGTCATTGTGATTACCATTTTGTTGCCACCACTGACCTGTTATTTACAATTTTAAAATAAATTTAAATTTTGTATAAAATGCAATTTAATTAAAGTCAATTTGATTGCAATTCTATACAATTTATTTAGAATGTAATCTAACCCTATATGTGTTTCATCTAAATTTCATGGTAGTAGAAACATCATAGACATTGTAACTTGATTTATAATGGGTAGCTCAGGTTAGGGCTATATAGAAATGAGATAAAGTATGGTATAGGCTGTCATATCCCTTTCTATAAATAACAATCCGTGCATAGCAAAGTCCCTGTTAGTTATCAAATCTAAGTTATATATATATCTCTTAAACAGCATTAATTAAAACAAAATGGCTACTGGCTTGCCATTTTGAATCAGATCGTACAACCAATACATCTGTATATCTATGATATGATGTATAATGAAAATAAAAAAAATTGTCAGTCAAAGCATGTCAGAGATATGGCTTCATTAAAACAAAATGGCCACCAGTCATCACTTTTTAATCCAATCTTGAAAACAAAATGACATGCATAAGGGACCTATAATGTCTAATGTATGTACCAAGTTTGAACAAAATCCACCTCTAAACAGCCGAGAAATGCTTGATTTTGATGATTTTGCAGTACAAAAATGGCTGCATTTGACCATCTTGAATCAAAGCAAATTGATGTGCATATGTATAATTTTATGTTTGATGTATGTGTGAATTTTTTATGTGTTTGGACGCACGGATGCACGCCTGAACTGCGCCTGAACGAGGACTGATAAACTTCAAATCGTAAATCTCACAGTAAAAAAACACATATCACGGTTTAGTGGTGGCCCATACTGTCTTTGTGTATACTTCGTGATATTTTTCTAATGACCTCAAATCTATATGAAAGTTTTGCAAGCTTTTATACCCACAATTGACTGAAATTCAACAATCATGCAGATGTACAGATTAATTATATTAATTTTATTCTCATGTAGAGCCACCAAACATAGCAGACACTCCAAAAGTAGTTGATTCATTTCCTAACAGTCGTGTGACCATACCATGTCCAGTCACTGGGTTTCCAAGACCTCATATTACATGGTACAAAGATGGAAAAGTTGTGGATACATCTGATCATGGACTGAGAGTAAGGTCTGATGGATCACTGTTTATTATGAATACAGAGGATGAAGATCGTGGTTATTACACATGTCACGCAGTCAATGATGCTGGCAGTGCTAATATAACTTTATTATTAAATATTAATGGTAAGTTTACAGTGGTATTACTAGGGGATCATAATAAATTTACTAGTTAGCTAGAGACTCGTACTCAAATCAGAAGTTAGCTATGGGACCATATTCAAATGAGTGGTCAGCTAAGGGCTCACCTTGAATTATTGACTCATATGTTGAATTATTGGTCAGCTAGGGTACTTTATCAAATTAATGGTTTACTAGGGTCCAAAT